CCCGCTGATATTACGATCGGTGAGAGGTCCACATACGACTAAACGACTAGTTGATCCTCTTCATCTAGAGAGCAGGCCTCATGGATCAATTGCCATTCATAGAGGCCCACTTAACTATGCCTTTGATAGTAAGTTGTATCTCATGCTTCAGGTTGCAGAATGACGTACCTTTGGTAGTTAGCCGTACTGAGACAATACTCAAGGTTCATCCTATGGAACCTCACGCTGTAGACCTTCAACTGGACGCCACAGAGCCATGGCAGTATGCCATTGACCCTACTACCGTAAAGTTCCACAACGAACCACCCAAGTCGGGAAAGCTGCCTTCCCCAATCTTCGACTACGGAATGTCTCCTTTAAGCATCACAGTGACAGCTTGCGAAATCGAATGGCCAGTGGATGGCGACATGTTTGCAGCATCTCCTCCTCAGAATGCGAGCTGCATTGGACGAGAGACCACCCTCAAGCTGTCGCCCTTTGGGGCCACCAAGCTTCGAATTAGTGAATTTCCGGTCTTCAAATCGAACGCTAGAGTAGATGTGGATTATGAGAATCAAGTTCATTTTGACCTGTCGGTTTAAAAATAAAAATCTATTTGTCTCCGCAGTGTCATCCGTGGCCGTGGAGCCGCTGATTCACCGATTGCTTTCATTATTATCGCTCATGTTCAAAAACGCTGCGACGAAAATCGCGCACAACTCGACCATCCCTTCGCTGGCCGTTGGGAACAAGGATCTCAGGCCATTACAGGTATACTCGCTTGCACCCAGCTGAATTTCCTCTGAATTTTGCCAAAAGGATCTCATCACAGCAGTTCGTCCGCAGCCATTGGATTTTCCTCGCGCCTGATAATCATGTCACAGGAAAAAACTGTACTTCTATCGCTTCAGAAGCTATCTACAGATATAACCAAGGCCTCGGATGCGCTCCGTTTCTGGGGTGTTGGAGAAGGTGAAGATCTGGCGGTGAGCAGCAACTTGCTCGTAACATTCTCAGCTCATTATACATTAGGATATCTTATCAGCGTCGACGGCAATTCTGGGTCATTTTGCAGTACGTATATCTGTCTAACAAGCCTCCGACTGATTGATGTTTTGGATTAGACGGCACTGAACCAGTATGCCTCACACGAGTCTGAAATCAGGGACGGAATGAAGTCCGTTCGCACCAGGGAAGAGGCTCTAGACGAGCTCAAGCGGAGAAGGAAGGTGAGTAAGAAGTTCATTGGGTTAAGCCTTGCTCAACCGACGGCGTAGGTGGTTTCCCAAAAGTCTGAAGCCGGTGAGCTATTTTCACCATTCTCTACTTTGGCTAGTTCGTGTCGGGTCTCACCTAGGTTGAGCCGCTGCCCACTTTGCTTTCCTCTCGTTCGTTTTGCTCACTCACCTCATTCATTCCCAGCCGAGAAAAAGTTATCAAAAATGGGGCCTGAGCATAAGAATTTGATGGCACAGACGGAAATTTTGAACCAGCTGCGCGAGCAGAACAGGTCCATGGATGCGGAGATCATCATGGAGGAAGCATCGTTGGGTGAGTACTGCATCGTTGAGCTGACAGTATTGAAAACAAGGATACAGGGGACTTCAAGCGGTCCTCGACAAGAATATGGCTCGGTCTCAAGTTTGCCGGGCTAGTCGAATGTTGTGAAAAGGGAGCGATCAGTGGAGAGTATGGGAAACTCCTCGTCAGCGTCAGTGACCCGTGTAACATGGTCCTCCGTCTTGCTAAGTTTTCAATATAGGAAATTCCAGAGGATTTGACGGAGCCAGGCATGCCACGAAACATGTATCTGGGTCATGGCAAAATCAACTCGTTGAGTATGGAAGCACAACGGCTTGTCGATGAAGTCAGGCTGGTCACTATCCAAAACACTGAACCTTCAGCTCCATCTCGTGCACCACGAATCCCAGTCCCTAGTGAATACGATGAGAACCGCTTTAATCAAGGACCCCTAGAATTGCAAGGTTCCGACCGTTTCAATCAAGGTCCTTCTGAACTTGAAGGCCACAATCGCTTCAATTCAGGACCATCAGAACTGGAAGCTCCTTCCCCAACTTATCTCGCGGCACCTCAGGGCATGGGCAGTGGTCATTTCCTCGATAATTCCGACATTGCCAGTGTCACAGGTGGCGCCTCTCAGCAGAATGGACCCACAGATGACTTTGCTGTTGGTCTTGGAGGAAAGCAAGATGCACCTGGGGGAGGTCGATTCGCGACTTTCCCTGTCAAATCGAACCGGGGCTTTGCGCTTCGCGACGGGCCGAAATCCGATGGCTTTGAGAGCGAAAAGAGGTGGGATGACGCCCCGCCTTATGAAGGACACATACCTCTGGCCGGTCCACCGCCTGGAGCTGCCCCTCCTGTCCGTCCGGAAACAGTCTATGATGATGATGCAGGACTTGCTTATATGCAAGATGACGACGACACGTCGAAACATGTTAGGTTTGGCGGTGTGAGCGATGTAAACGCTGAACTAGAGAGCCGAGCGGCTGCTCGTGGGTCTATTTCTATTCAGTTTCAGACTTTATCTCATCGTTATCCAGCGGCAAAATCACCAGAAGAGGAAGAGCGCGACCTCAATGCTGCCGCTGCTCGTGAAGTCAGTCGTGAACTTGATGCACTCAACTTTGATCGACCGCCATCGGCTGCTGCCTCGTTTTCTGACCCTGCTCGTGGTGATGAACCTCATCGACTGACGATAGAAACACCTAGTCGAGAACCATCACCGCTAGCGCCCCCGGTCGCTCCTTTTTCTCGTCGAGCTGTTTCTCCCAGTATTGAAGGCCATGTTCCAAGTCCAACCACATATTCACCATATAGCACAAATCCTTATCGACAGGACAGCTCAAGTCCTGTAGCGACTGATCAGCCTCCAGTCATCAATGTCCCGAACCGGATGGATCATTTTGCATCAGCTCCTGGTCCTGCTAGTCCAGCGAATTCCTTCAGCAGGAGCCCATTGGAGCAACCAAGGCTCGGTGCAGGAGCCTTCAGTAAATCTTCTTCTTCTCTTAATTCCCAAGCATCACCTGGCGGCAAGATTTCAGCGGCTGCTTTCAGACGACCTGTTCCGAGAATGGGCAGCTCCGACACGTCGGAAAGAAAACGCTTGCCTAGCTCACCTCACCCGGGCCAAGGAGGACCAATGCCTCCTTCGAATCTCTCAAAGCCTGAGATGCCATTCGGGAGAGAAAGGTCAAATTCATACAACTCGGTTCATCAGAATTCGGTACCTCAGGAACCAAGCCGAGAAAGCGGATATGGAGATTATGATTACCTGAGTGCATATACGAACCCAGACGGTGATCCAGGTAGTCCTGTAAAGACCGACTATGGATCTTTGGGCAATGTCAAAGTGGTAAATGGTGGCTATGGGGAAGGAACATTTTCAACGAATTTGGAGGACCGTAGGTTGTAACTTTCGTCTTATGTATGAACAACAACCTTGTATTCAGTCTGTACGCAAAATATATAATGTATTGTGTGGCATATCACATGAATGTGACGAGTCGTCACGAGCGTGACATAGATTGCTGCTCTTCGGAGTCTTAACTTGCTCTGCACGCCGCCCTTGGACCTTTTTCGATGCCCAGCGACCTTGACAGGCAAGAAATTTGCTCATATATCCATTTCCGACTCTAAACTCCCTTTATCCAGTCAGATTGAGCAGCTCACAAGATGCGAAATCATCACAGAGGATCAAGTCAAGATATTGTGTTTAAAGGCGCGCGAAATTCTAGTCGAGGAAGGGAATGTTCAAGTGGTGGATTCGCCTGTTACTGTACGTTCTAGTCAGCTGCAACTCGATCCTCAACATTCATTCCGAAATGCAGATATGTGGTGACATTCATGGCCAATTTTTCGACATGATGGAGCTCTTCAAAGTGGGAGGTTTCTGCCCAGAGACGAATTATCTTTTCATGGGTGCGTCGGAAAAGTTCTCTGTCATTCACAACAAATTGAGTTCAATGCAGGCGACTTTGTTGACCGAGGTTTCTACAGCGTAGAAACATTTCTATTGCTCTTGGCTCTCAAAGTGCGATATCCAGAGCGGATCACCCTTATCAGAGGCAACCATGAATCGCGACAAATCACCCAGGTATACGGGTTTTACGACGAATGCCAGCGGAAATACGGGAGCAGCAATGTCTGGCGGTGGTGCTGTGAAGTCTTTGATTATCTGGCACTAGGCGCCATTGTAGACGGACGGGTGTTCTGTGTCCATGGCGGGCTAAGTCCCAGTTTTCAAAACATCGACCAGGTATGTCACTTTATGGCCACGAAATGTCTACTTATTCCTTCCTAGATTCGCGCAATCGATAGAAAACAAGAGGTGCCTCATGATGGACCAATGTGCGACCTACTGTGGTCAGATCCAGACGGTTAGTTCAACGAATCATGACTTTCTTTCTCTGATGTTCTGGCAGATATAAATGGCTGGGGCCTGTCACCGCGCGGTGCTGGATACCTTTTCGGTGCCGACATAACCAAAACCTTTGCTCACAACAATGCGATAGACTTGATTGCAAGGGCGCATCAGCTGGCCATGGAAGGATATAAGCTGATGTTTGACCGGACCATTGTCACGGTCTGGAGCGCACCAAATTATTGTTATCGGTGTGCTACCTCTTTGGAGCTTACATGTCAATTGAACTCTCTATCAGATGCGGTAACGTCGCGTCGATACTTGAGCTGGATGAACATCTGGGGCAAGAGTACAAAGTATTCCAACATGCGGCTCTGGTGAGTCTCCACTGGATCTCTTGTTATTTATTTTTACCGATCTGCAGGATATACGTTCGGTGCCAGCAAAGCGACCGCCAGCGGACTACTTTCTTTGATAAGAGTCATTTATGCAGGATATATAGTCAAATGCAGTGTGCAGGCATATATAAATGCAATCCACGATTTCGTAGCTTGCTTCGAGGCAGGAACAAGGCGCAATAAATGCAGCCATTTATTCCACGGTTTGTACACTGACATTGGATTCAGCTTCATATGGCCGCCTGGCGAAATGGCATCGCGTCTGACTACGATGTTGTTGTTGTTATCAGGAGATTGCAGGTTCGACCCCTGCGGTGGTCATTTTGCCCAATTTTCCCTCATTGGTTGGAATGGAAACTGCAATGTTCACTTGATTTTTTCTTTTTCCCCTCGATCGTGTCTCACATATAAACATCATAATCTTCTATCGAAGTCCCAAGCTTCTCTCCTTTCGCCAACATCACATGTGCTCGTTCAACCACCATTGAAGCGATCGCAACGTCCTGAATTCCAATTCCTACAGACTTGAACAAAGTGACACCAGAAAAGTCATTTTCTCCCAAGACCCTTGGTACCGATGTGTACTGATCGCTGAGAAAGCCGGTCCGGTTGACGAGCTCTCCCAGTTCGACCACGTCTTCTGGAATGACTCCTGCGCTGATGAGCTCTCCAGCTTCAGCGATGGCTGCCGAGCGAGATTCGACGAGAAGCTGGCCGCTCAGTGCTCTGCGGACAAGAGCGTCGTCGACTTCGCGCATATCCTTGGTATAACTTCCAATGAGAATGATATGGGTCCCCGAGCGGACCCAGGATGAAGGAAACAGTGGGCGATTCGAAGACGTCGCGCAGACTATAATGTCTGCTGTGGAAAGCGCGTCTTTGACTTCAATTCGACCTTCTTCAGCCTCAGCACTTGATATAATCGATTTAAAGGTAACATGGCTGAATTGCTGCTTGAGAGACACCAGGAGAGCAGCGAGACGATCGTTTCCGTGTCTGTTCACGACGGTGCAAAAATGAATCGAGGTAAAGGCCCTGAGATGCAACTCCAGATGAGCTTGGATCTGGTTTCCTGCACCAAAGACGACGATATGACTCGGGGCCTTTGGGCCTATCAAAGTTGTAGAAAGAAGAGAACCTGCTTGCTTTGTCAAAGAAGTATCAGATTGAACGATAACTTACCTCCTGCGTTTCGGAGCGCAGTCAGACTTCGAGCATTGACGATGGCCTTGACGGCTCCAGTGTTCTCGTCCAGGACCTCAGGCATGTAAACAGTTGGTCCTAGAAATTGAACCTAGAATGCTTACTAGTGTTGTAGCTGGAAGACCGCGTTGATCCCCTGGTAGCGTTGGCACAGATACGACCTTGATAGCGGTGCCTATGGAATCCAGTCGAGCAGGCATAAACAGAGTCTTGTGCTGTTTCATAGAAATCGCAGTCCTCAGAGGGCTGCTACACGTTCCAGCTGAACCAGATAGAGCAAAGAAGACCTCTGCCATGAGTCTTTCTACATCTGCGGGCTTCAACGAAGCCGAAACTCGTCGAACTGCAGCGGATGAGAGTACAAGAAGAGACATTTTTTGGCCCGTGACCGCCCAAATTGAACTTCAGTTACTTCCAAAAAGTGCAAATCACTGCTAATACAAATACATTCAGTCGTGTATTTCTCTCAACCCTCCTTTACTACCTCCTTGACAGCCTCGGCGAATATTTCACATCCCTTCTTCATGTCCTCTTCGGTGATGTTCAAAGGCGGAATGAACCTGACGACTTCATAGACGCTGGTCGTGAGCAGCAGCATTCCCTTCTCGATACATCGCTTGGTGATACGACTGGCAAGAGATTTGGGAGCATTCTTTTCTGCGTTTCCGGTGACCACATCATACTCGTACTGACCGCCGACGCCTCCATCGGGAGCAGCGAATTCGACCGCGACCATCAAGCCTTTTCCTCGGACGTCTATGATATATGGCGTGACGCCAGGATCTGCCTGTAAAGCTTGCAAAAAGCCCAATAGCTGTTCAGAGCGCTTCTGAACATTGGCGAAAATGTTTTCTTCGATCATAGAATCTGCAACCGCAATTGCGGCAGCGCAGGAGACGGCATTACCAGCATAAGTTCCACCCTAATCATCATCAGAGAAGATAGCTGAAGAATGAGGTTGAAACTACCATGGATCCAGGAACAAGTTTGTCGGACACCTCTTTCCTAGTGATAACAGCACTGAGAGGGAATCCATTTGCTAGACCTTTCGCAGCGATCAAGATGTCTGGTCGGACGCCGCTTTCTGAGATGGAGAACCAATCTCCAGTTCTGCCAAAGCCGCTCTGAACTTCGTCCACAATAAGCATAATTCCATGTTTGTCGCATATTTCACGGAGACCCTGGAGAAAGTCGTTTGGAGCAGGAACATAGCCGCCCTCACCCATTAGAGGTTCAACGATGATAGCCGCTGTGTCTGAAGGGGCTGTTTGTTGACTAGAAAGTGAATCAGTATAAAGCAAGTTTAATTTAGAGTAGAATCGCGCACGCAAGAAGCAAGTTTAATGAATGAAGAGAAGCCGCGGTGAGTATCCTGGATGGCGTAGAAGGCGGCAAGAAGTGTTGGTGCCAATATGGATAAGGCATAGAGAATGTTCCAGGCTAAAGAGATGAGCTATGGATTCAGATATTGTATTGGAATTACCATCAGAGGAAATACGCCCGCTGAATATATAGTCTTGCTTCGGGTGACAGACATTGCTCCAAAGGTCCTTCCATGATATCCACCTGTGACATGAGCACACAAGCAATGAGTAGCTGAGAAACTACCTCACCCTGCATACAGATGATGTTCTGTCGTCCGGTATTGAGCCTAGCGATCTTCAGCGCCGCTTCCACAGCTTCCGAGCCAGAATTCCAGAGGAAGAAAGAGTCAAGGGATGGATGAGGCATGACAGGTATCAGCTTTTCGATGAGCCTGAGATATGGCTCATGAAATGCAATGCTGCACTGGTGAGAGTCAGTCATGAAATCGTTGAAGCTTGAACAGACTCACTTGGGCATGAACCATATTCATGCATTGATCAGAAGCAGCTTGGCTGACCTTTGGGTGACAATGTCCTGCAATAGACGTGTAACGATTGTTCAGTCGTGTGGAGTAAGTGACCAACCAAGTCCTGCAGGAGATATGTGTTAACGGTTCAGCTCGCGTGAACAAGTGGCTCTAACCAGTTACACCAATACCGCAAGTAAAGTCGAGCATTCGTCTTCCGTCCTGGAAATGGACATACGATCCACTGCCTTTGGTGACTACTCCGTCAGTAATTCTTCCTAGCCCATGGGTGACATGTTTCTCGCCAAATTCTTGAAGAGAAGTAGATGACATAGTCCTGGAAGTGACACCCTTAGACATGGCGAGCAGTCGAGAGCCAGTTTTGAGCATTTTGCCAGCGTCAGGCGACTGAACAAGCCGGCCAATCATTCCGGCAACCAACGCCTTTCTCAGAGCCGGACTTTACTTACCCTGGGGCAAGTGGCTCGGGATATTCACAGAATCAGAGTAAAAGGTCTCTTCAGACTGATTACAGGCAAGTCAACATTCGTGGACCATGAACTCGGCCAGCAATCGCATGCGCTTCAAAGAATTCTGCAAAGTTGTGATGCACCGCATCTTCCAGTTGCAATTGAATTCTACTCGTCTCTGCCTTGACAAATCGCTTGCGGCCTATATTGAGGATCTTTGAGGCGTCCTCTGTCAGTCCTCTGGCCCTTCTTAAGGTGTCGACTCGAAGTCTCGCACATCCGCCGAGATCGTCCATATGCTGATCGTCGGTAGCGCCTGGTAGCGCGTTTCGACTTTCCATCAATATTATCGTCAAGAAGGTCTGGCACATTTTGATGCTCTGTAACCATGCCGTGCAACACCATGGTCCATGGGTCCTAGCCTCTAGGCCGTCTTACTTAAATTCCACGAAAATTTGATGGTTCCCTTTCTTTCCACCCATTTTCATTCCATTTTTTCGTTCGTTCGTGTGTCAGGACGCCCCGGTTGGCATTACTCTCCTTTTCGACATGTTATCCTTCTTCTTCACGCTCTTTTCGTTCGCCATTTGGGCAACAAAAGCCGTCAACGACTGGACGGTACCTTGCCTTGATGGTGTTTGTGAATATTCTTTGCCATCTTCTAGTTCGGCCTCGGGCACTCTGAAAATCGTACGTGATCATCAGTAGCTGAATTTGCTTGACTGACTGATTTACAGTGGGGCTCTGTGGATGCGATTTCAGACATAACCTCCGCTGCTGGCTGGGAAATCATAGGTTGCTCTCCAGACGCGTTATCCCAAGATATACGCCTCGTTTGTGTCGCCGAGGGATGCGATCATCTTTATCAGGGCACTGGCGCTGTGGATAAAGTTGTGCGTTTGCCTGAACAAGTGAGTGTCTTCTGTTCCGATACTGACTTGGATTTACGAGTATCGCTAGTGTGGACAGAGCGCATTTGCACGAGTAGCAAAGGCCTGGATCCCAGAAGATCAATCTCTTCCGCCTTCTGTAGCAAGACGACTTGTAGGTCGCGACGTGATCCCTCAAGTCAAGGCTCTATCTCTCGACACCGATTTTTCTGCCATTGATGTTTCCAAGTGAGCATTTGACATCGTCCAGACCCACATATTCAACTATTTTCACAGTTCCGGAGCCGTCAGCTTTTCCATTCAAGGCAGCAACATTCCAGCAGTCGATTCAGCTCCGATCTTCACGCCCAGCTCTCTTCTGGGCCGTCAGGACGATTCCTTTGGTGAAACTTGTGCTCTCTACCCCAACACGATGCTAATTGGATGCTCGACAGCCTTTTCGAATGATTTCAACATTACCAACACCACTACACTCGCTCCCATTGATATAGACCAGCCTTTCAGTCTTGTGAATCAATCTCTCGATTGCCCTCCCACCAAAGCAAATGTCAACATCAATGTCGACTCCAAAGCTCACGCTGAGATTTCTATTGGGGTTAATTTGGCAGGAGTAAGTATCTAGCTTACTCATTATCATTCACTCACTGTCTCCAGACCATTGCTCCCCCAAAATTCGACCAGTTCTCAATGATTGTTGGCAAGTCTTTTATCTTATCACTGCCGGACCAAGATGCTGACACTGAGGCGACAAGGTCTCACTGCGGATCTTACCGGGTCCGTAGATCTCAAGGCAGATGTAGCAGTGAGTGACGCCAGAATCCAGAATCTAATCTCAGCTCACTTTGTCAGGGTACTCTTGATTCAGGTAAAATTCCAATTTTCGAGACGATCGTCCCGGGACTCGACTTTCCTGGGTGTGTGTACATT